GTCTTCCAGTATGGTAGTGTGGGTTCTCAGTCATCACCACCAGCAACAGATCCAGGTCCTGTTCCTTCTTCTCCCAGCCAGGAGCCTCCTACCAAGCGGGAGTATGACCAGTGTCGCATACAGGTATGTTTCTAGTGGCTGTCTTGCTCCTGGAACCCTGTGTTGGCTCTCAGGTACCCAGCACAGAGCTATTTGCATTTAAGTCCCATTTGCCAAATCACTCCCTTCTTTGTACATGACTTTTGAAATCCTACCTTCTCTACTCTTGGGAGCGATCAAATTTCACCTGTCTTATTTAAATCCGTACTTCATTCTTACTCAGCAGTTACCCTTTAATTTTTTTATAATGCTTCATTAGACTTATTCCATAGCTGTTTTCATAATATGGCAGTTCCTAGTTTTTGTTTTGTTTGTTTGTTTTTGTTTTTTGAGACAGGGTTTCTCTGTGTAGCTTTTGAGCCTGTCCTAGAACTCACTCCATAGACCAGGCTGGCCTTGAACTCACAGAGGTCTGCCTATCTCTGCTTCCCAAGTGCTGGGATTAAAGGTGTGAGCCACCACCACCCGGCAGTTATGGTTTTTAAAAATAATTCCATCTTGTCTTTTCTTGATTGTGAGGTAGCTGGGAGTCTTTTCATCACCTGTTGAAGCACAGCATAAGTGATTGTTCTTCAGGACCTTTAAGTAGTATTTGTACTGGCTCAGTCTCTCCAGGAGAGCAGGGCCAGCTTTAGTCCTTCCTTTCCTTTTCTTGGTTACTTCAGTTTAGCGTGTGGGGTTTTTTTGTTTTTTGACACGGGGTTTCTTTGTGTAACAGCCTTGGCTATAGACCAAGCTGACCTCAAACTCCCAGATATTCACCTGCCTCTGCCCTCTTTCCCCTCCCCAAAAGCATAGGCCACCATTGTCCGGCCAGTTTGCTATGAGACAGGGTCTTGATATGTAGATTAGGCTGGTCTTGAATTTTGAGATAACCTTTTCCTCTGCCTGAGGGCTGGGATTACAGGCATAAGCCACTATTCCAGACTTTGTTTTATATTTGGAACTGGGTCTTGCTGTACAGCCCTACAGACCTCCTGGAGTTCTCTGTGAAGATCAAGCTGACCTCAGACTTCGGGTGGTCCTTCTTCCTATTCTTTGTGCTATGATTATAGGTATTGTCATTACCTGGTCTCACCTATTTATTTATTCATTGTTTTATTTTTTGAGACAGGGTCTCATGTACCTGATGCTGACCTTGAAATTGTTCTACCTGCTTCCAGCCCTGGAACTTCATGTAAACTGGGCTGGTCTTGAAGCTCCAGAGACCTGTCTGTGCCCCTAAGTGCTGGGGCTATAGGCATGGGCCACCCCATATCCTAGTCCTCACTCAGTTTCAGTGCTCATAGTACTTTCTGTCTTCTAGGTTAGGCTGCCTGATGGGACGTCCTTGACCCAAACGTTCCGAGCCCGGGAACAGCTGGCAGCTGTGAGGCTGTATGTAGAGCTTCACCGTAGGGAAGAACCTGGACAGGACCAGGACCCTGTGCAGTTGCTCAGTGGCTTCCCCAGAAGGGCTTTCTCAGAGGCTGACATGGAGCGGCCTCTGCAGGAACTGGGTATGTTATGTGAGACCAGGAGTCAGGACTTAAAGGAATGAGGGGCAGTAGAGATAGGAAAAGAGACTTAGTGGACATGGTATGTGTCCAGGAATTTGAAGGCCTAAACCTAAGTATCCTTGTAATTCAAACTCTTTCTTCTATCTTTAGGACTTGTGCCTTCTGCTGTCCTCATTGTGGCCAAGAAGTGTCCCAGCTGAGGGTCTTCCATCCCATCATTCCTTTCTGACCTCTTCATCTTTGATAAAGCACTGACATTTCCTTCCTAATAAATAGACCCTTTGAGTTCTGTATATGCCTGGCTCCTTCCTGAATGACTAGAAAGGGCAATATGAGAAGATAAAGGGAAGGCATTTGAAGTAGGACCTCTTTGTCAGGTTTGCAATAGAGTTTTCTAGGACTGATTACCTGCTTGGGGTGTGTGTGCATTACACAGCACCTTTTGTTCATAAGCATAAAGTGATACTTGAGGATTTTCTGTTTATTTTGAAACAGAGATTATGTAGTCCTGGCTATCCTGGAACTATATAGACCAGGCTGGCCCTCAAAATGATTGAGTTTAAAATACTTACTGGGCTGGGCAGTGGTAGCACATGCCTTTAGACCCAGCACTTAAAAGGCAGAGGCAGGCAAATCTCTGAGTTTAGGGCCAGCCTGGTCTACAAAGGGAGTTCCAGGACAGCCAAGGCTACACACAGAAACATTTTTTCAAATATCAAAAAAAAAAAAAAAAGGCCTGTTACTTTTTTTTTAAATAGTTATTTAGGGGGCTGGAGAGATGGCTCAGAGGTTAAGAGCATTGTCTCTTCCAAAGGTCCTGAGTTCAATTCCCAGCAACCACATGGTGGCTCACAACCATCTGTAATGGGGTCTGGGGCCCTCTTCTGGCCTGCAGGCATATACACAGACAGAATATTGTATACATAATAAGTAAATAAATGAATAAATAAATAATTTATTACATATAGTGTTTTGCTTGCATGTGTACTTGCAGGCCAGAAGAGGGCACCAGATCTCATTACAGATGGTTGTAAGCCACCATGTGGTTGCTGGGAACTGAACTCAGTACCTCTGGAAGAGCAGCCAGTGCTCTTAACCTCAGAGCCATTTCTCCAGCCCAAGGCCTTACTTAGTATTATATATATTATATGCCTTGACTTCTTGAAGCCACTCCATTAGTGTGATAGGCTAATAATACCTATTTCCTGTATTATGAAACATCTAATGCTTTTAGCACAGTGTCTGGCATAGTACATGCCCTGTAAGCACTGGCTATATATAAAGTAGTGGATTTGTGGGGTGCTTATTTTTATTTATTTTCACCACCCGGCCCATTGTACACATTTTAACCCTTTACCAAAGCCCATACAAAATTTCCCAAAAAGAAAGGCATTAATAGTGAGAATTAAAAATAAAAGTAAAAAGGTGCTGGAGAAGTGTGGTCTGTAAAGTTGAAATGCTGAAATTTTGTCAAGCAGCAATGGTCACCATGCGATTCATGCCAGGTGCATGTTCTGCTCTTAAGACTCAGTGGTTAAGGGCTGGAGAGATAGCTCAGAGGTTAAGAGTACTGCCTGCTCTTCCAGAGGTCCTGAGTTCAATTCCCAGCAACCACATGGTGGCTCACAGCCACCTGTCATGAGGTCTGGTACCCTCTTCTGGCCAGCAAGCATGCATACAGACAGAACACTGTATACATACTAAATAAATAAAAAATCTTCTTAAAAAAAAAAAAAGACTCAGTGGTTAAGAGCACTGCTATCAGAGGATGGGGTCAATTCCCTAGTACCCACATGGCAGCTCACACCTGTTTATAACAGCAGTTCTAGGGCTTCCGACACCCTCAGATAAAACACCAATGAACAAAAAGACCATATTGCCTATAATAATCCCAAGGCTTAGGGAGCAGGAGGACTGAGGTGAGTTCAGGCTACCCAGGATGACATAGCAAGACTATAGTAATTTAAGAAAAGCACCATGCAACGGTTACTGTGGAGGGGTTTTGATTAAGGGAAGGGGGGGACCAGCCTTTCAGGTTGGAGCAGCAGAAGAGAAGGTGGGCAGAGCCCTTTTAAAAGGGAAGTAGTGAACTTGTAATTGCTGCAGGGAGGTGATGGCACAGGCCTTTAATACCAGCAGAGGCAGGTGGATCTCTGAATTCAAGGCCACCCTGATCTACTGTTCCAGGACATGCTCCAAAGCTATACAGAGAAACCCTGTATTTAAAAAAAATGCTGTGAAGAAACAAGCTAAGTAAGGCAGGGAATTCATAACTAAGAATAAGCCTCTGTGTGTGATTTATTTGGAAGTTGGGTGGTGGGCCCCTCAAAAAGCCAAAAGAGTAAAACATTACACAACACACACATATGTGTATGGGCTAGAGGTGATGCTCAGTGATGGGTAATACTAGCATACCCAAGGTGCTAGGGCTCAATCCTCAGTACCAAATCAGAAGGATCTGTGGCCTGGTTCATCTCTGCAAGTACAATCCCATGGTCTTTTTGTTGGCTTAGTTTTGTGTGCCACCATATAATAAACAACTTTGGGGGCATAGACCCATATATTTATGTGTATGCCTGTGGAGGCAGAAAATGTAGCGATCATAAGAAACCAGCAGTCACTTTCCTCCATTCACCATGTGGGTTCCGGGGATTAGATTTTGCTCCTAGGCTTAGCTCAAGGTGTTTTTACCCACAGCCCTTTCAACCACCCCTCACTACATTTAGCAAGAGGCTGCATGTTGGGGGGCATAGTGGGATTTTCGTAGCAGGAGCTCAACTCTAGTCCAGGACAGCCTCGAACACTTTATAGCCATGACTGGCTTTGAACTTGTTAAAATTCTGGCTCAAGCTGCACCATGCACTGCTGTACTTTCCATTTTTCAACGACCCTTTTTGCCCATTTCGTAATAGTTTAAACCCTCAGGCCTTGTTTTGGTTTTCTTGAGAGGCGATTTCACTGTGTAGCCCTGGAGGGTCTGGGACTTAATGCAGACCAAGCTGGCCTTGCAGAGATCTGCCTGCCTCTCCCTCCCAAGTGCTGAGAATAAACACTCAGTTTAGGGAGGTTTTATAATATGTAGTTAAACCAAAATCTTTTTCTTTTGAGGTAGTAGCCCAGGTTTGTCTTGAAACTGCTATCTTCTTACCCTCCTGGGTGTTGTGGTTATAGGTGTATGTCACTGAGCTATGCTTGAGAATGATCTGGACTGACACAGATGTTTTAGTACTAAGTCAGCTTCTCTTACAGAGCCTTTAACAAAGTCTGGCGGTGGTGGTACATACCTATAATCCAAGCACTGAGGAGACAAAGGCAGGTGAATCTGTGAGGTCAGCCTGGTCTACAGAGTGAGTTCCAGCACAATCAGGGCAACACTGACTGGAAAGAGACTTCAAAGTTAAATACTGTTCCGTGACTTCCATATATGCAGCGCGCCTGCACTTTTATTTTTCACTCACACAACCTAGGCACACAAAACAGACATTAGAAAAGGTTTTTTTTTTGTTTTACCGCCAGTTGTTGAAGCAAACTTAGATCATGTGACCTGTTTTGAATAGTCAGAAAACCTATTGGACGTGGAACTATCCAGGACAAGTGGCAATCAGCTACTCTTCTGCTCCCACCGTGCCGACCCTCCCAGCTCTTTAGGCTTTAAATATCCGGCTGCGGAGTCCACTTAACGGATGGACTGGTTTATTAGTTCCTTTGGTTCCATACTCCGACCCCCATCTCGTCCCTGTCACGCGATGTGCACGTTAAACGCGCTCACCAACGGCAGCTACCTGTGCCTGCTAGAGTCGTGTTATCCTGAATCCAGTCTCCACGCCCGCGCACAAAAAAAGGCGCCTCGAAGGTCCCACGGGCAAGCTCTGGTGTCACGCTGACCTGCTGCCGTCGCTAACTGCTTCCGTCCAGTTCTTCCTCCAGGCCACGTTTTCCTCCGTAGCTGCCGCTTTCTTCAGAGTAGCCATCACTAGTTCCTTGGTCCTGGCAGCTTCCTCCCTGCGCCGCGGGTCCCGTTCCGGAAACTCCTACGGGCAAGAAGGATGTTTGCAGCCCGGGCCCGAAGACAGGGCCTCTCCCCACACACACCCACCTCGGGGAGCCCGGGTGTTTCTACCTGCAGCATTGCCTGCTTCTGTAGTTCTCCTGGGGTCACAAGGGCAAACAGAGTGGAGCCAACGCCAGCACCCGCGCCGAGCACAGCAACCACCACCAGTGCTTTGCGAACAGCATTCATGGCCGACCACACTACCAACGAGACGCCCTCCGCATCCTCCGGCAGCCTAGAAGGGAGCTGCGACGTCTCACCGCTCCCCGTGCGGGCTAGAGCGACAGGCGGGGGGGCGGAGCCCAAAACCATAGAGCAGCTGCTAAGCTAGAGCGGTGCCGGCCCCTAGAAACGTTTTTTTTGTTGTTGTTGTGTTGTTTTGTTTTGTTTTGTTTGTTTTGTTTTGTTTTTCGAGACGGGATTTCACTGTGCGCTTTGGAGCCTGTCCTGGAACTCACTTGCCTCTGCCTCCCCAGTGCTGGGATTAAAGGCGTGCACCGCTAGACTCTTGAAATTATAGATATAAAAAACAACAAAAGCAGGTCAGCGGTGGCGCAGGCCTATTAATCTCACCACTCCGGAAGCAAAGACAGGTGGATCTTTGAGTTTGAGATCGGCCTGGTCTACAGATCAAGTTCCAGAACAGCTAGGGCTACACAAAGAAACCTTGTCTCGAAAAAACAAAAAAAGACCAAACAAGAAACCCGACACACTCCCCTCCCACAAACCAGCTTGGAACTCCCGGTGTAGAAATTCGTTATGTAGACCACTGGCCTCAAACTCACAAGGAAACCACTTGCTGCTACCGCCTCACCCGAAATGAGATCCTGGGACTTGGTAGCTGAGTAAAGGACGTTGAATATCTTAAAAAATGCTAGAGCCGGCTGGAGAGATGGGTCAGCCGACCTGGGTTCAGTACTCAACACTCTCATAGCGGCTCACAACGCCAGTTCCATGGGATCTGACATCCTCTACTGCCATCCGTGGGCAGTAGACAGGCAATGTGGTGCACAGACACATTCAGGCAAAACATTAATGAACACAAAACAATTAAGAAATAAAAAGTTAGAGCTTAGTTAGGGCCATTGCCATAAAAAAGTGCATGATTATTGTGGATTTTTGAGTTGCTAGTTTTTGCTGGGTAGTCATCCCAGGACAGCTCTCTGAGTTCGAGGCCAACCTGGGCTACAGAGGTCCAGGCCAGCCAGCGCTATACAAAGAAATTCTGTCTCAAACTAATTAAAGTAAAATAATTTTAATTAAAAATAAAAACCGTTGCCAATTTTCAATCCCAGGAAGTTTCAAATCAATAAAGGACTATTAATATTTTAAGTACACAATGTAATGACTAACATCTGAACTCTCAAATGTTTAAGGAAGTTGAATCTGGAAGAGTCTGAGTTGGGGGCCAGTCAAGGCTTCGTTGGAAGACCTTGTTTCAAAACAAACAAAGCACATAGAGGTTAGGACAAACAAAAATTCAAAGCCAAATGGACAGAATAGGAAACAATTTTTTTCTTCTCTCAGGTTTTGAAACCAGAGTGTCAGGCAAGCTAGGTATCATAGATATGCTTTTTTATTCCTTTTTTTTTTTAAAAAAAAGATTTATTTATTATGTATACAACATTCCTTCCATGTATGTTTGCATGCCAGTAGAGGGCACCAGATCTCATTACAGATGGTTGTGAGCCACCATGTGGTTGCTGGAAATCCAACTCAGGACCTCTAGAAGAGCAGACAGTGTTCTTAACCTCTGAGCCATCTCTCCAGCCCTTCCTTGCTCTTTTTAAGAAAAGCCCACTGGCTGCTTTTCCAGAGTACCTGGGTTCGATTCACAGCACCCATATGGCAGCTCACAGCTATCTGGAACTATAGTTCCAGGGGATACAATGCCCTCACTCCAACATAAATGTGGACAAAATACCAATGCACATAAAATATTTATTTTGGTTTTGGTTTTTCAAGACCGGGTTTCTCTTTGTAGCCCCGGCTGTCCTGGCTATGTAGACCAGGCTGGCCTTGAACTCACAGTGATCTGCCTGCCTCTTCCTCCTGAGTGCTGGGATTAAAGGCGTGCACCACCACCACCCCAGCTCATAACATAAAATTTAAGAAAAAAGGAAGAAAGGGCTTCTATGATTTTATTTTCTAGTAGTCCTGCTTGGCCTGGAACTTGCAGTGTAGACTAGGCTAGCCTTGAAGTCCCAGAGTTTTACCTGCCTGTGTTTCTTAAGTTCTGCTATTAAAGACAGTGCTATCCTAACTGGCTTGTTTACTTTTGTTTGTTTTTTCAAGACAAGTTTTCTCTCTGTCATCCTGGAACTCAGAGATCTGCTTATCTCTGTCTCCCCTGTCTCCCAAGTGAGTGATGGTATTAAAGGACTGCACCACCACTGTCTGGAGTTCTTGGCAGGCTAGGAGAGATGGCTCAGTAATTAAGAGCACTGGCTGATTTGATTTGATTCCCAGCACCCACGTGGTGCCTGACAACTATCAGTAACGCCTGTCCTAAGATCCAGTGCCCTCTTCAAGAAGACATACTTGCAGGCAAAACAGCTCTACCTATAAAATAAATACATTTAAGGTAAATAAATAAAAAATGTTTCTTTGAAATAGCAAAAGCCACATAAGCATTCATTAAATAACATACAAATAAGTCCACTTGAGAAAACAGTAAACAAGGAGTTAGGAAATCCACCATCACAACTCTTTATTTATAAGGCTTTAATCCAGATGCCCTTGTCTCCTACCTAGACTGCCATGCCCAGTGTCTCAGGGAGTAAACAGAATAAAGCTCCTGTCTCTCCTCTTTGGCTTCTCCCCTCCCTTGGAAGGCCCATAATCTCCCAGCATGTCAGCGTTCTTTTCTCAGCAGTGATTAAGGAGTCCTCTACAAAGAGGATTAAAGCATAGTCTGTGCAGGGCACTGGGCAGGGTTACTTGACCTGGAACCCAAGCACTCTGCATTTTTAGAGTCACTAGCATGGCTCTCATGCCAGGAAGTAGCAAGGATGGACCTTGGTCTGGAGATAGCCCAGATTCTTCATGCTATGCGGAAAGTCCCCGGTTGATGAATCCTCTCTCAAGGAACAGAGAGAAGACTGGCAGATGTGAAGGTCAGCAGGATGCTCAGGTGAGTACTACTGGTCCAGGGACTGGCTCTTCCTCCAATTGGGTCCAACACCCCTGCTGTACTTACATAGGTGTCTCCAAAGCCCCGCCTGCCCTCTATTGTGGTAGAGGTCTCAGAGGAGAACAAGGAAGACCAGGAGGATAGCCAGTGGCCACATGAGGAGTTGCTGCTGCTCACTGATGGTGAAGAGGAGGAAGCAGAAGCCTTTTTCCAGGAACAAAGTGAAGAGCCAGGTGAGGGTGATGGCTTATTCATTCAGACCATTGCCATCTAGACTTTCCAGACCCACAGTAGGTGTCCAGGAATGTTAGAAACAGGATCCTGGGTCCCATCCCCAGCAACACACACACACACACACACATGGCAAATAGGTGAGAGTCTAGGCAGTTGAAACCATTGATGAATGTTAAAGGACAGCTTTGGTGTTTTATGTTTTTTTTTTCAAAGAAGTCTCACTCTATATTTCAAACTGAACTAGAACGGAAGATCTTACTGCTTCAGCCTCCCAAATTGTGGGGTTACAAGACTATAGCACCATGCCTGGCTTGCTTGTTCCTTTATTTAAGCACTGAAAAGTGAACCTAAAGAGATACTCTACAGCTGAGCTACATTCCCAGTCCTTTTTAATTAATTTGAGACAGTCTCATTCTGCAACTCAGACTGACCTAGAGCTCACTGTGTAACCCAGGCTAGCCTTGAACTCATGGTAATCCTTTTGCTGTCTTCTGAGTACCTGAGATTATTAAAAGCCTGAGCCCTGGGCTCTGTACCCTGCTGGTTTAAAAGGCTGTTCTGATCTGGAAATGATGTCTTTAAAAAAATTTAGGCATAGGTGAGAATGGTGGCCCCTGCCTTTAATTCAGGCACTTGGGAGGTAGAGGCAGGCTGATCTCTGTGCGTTACCGGCCAGCCTGGTCTACATAGTGAGAATGTATCTCCAAAATAATAATAATAACAATAATAAATAATAACAATATTTATTTACTTGTAAGAATGTGTGTGTGCGTGTGTCTGTAGGTCAGAAGACAACTTGTGGGAGCTAGCTCTCTCATTTTACCTTGTGGGTTCTAGGGACTAAATTAAAGTTGGCAGACTCGTGATGACGCACGCCTTTAATCCCAGCACTCGGGAGGCAGAGGCAGGCAGATCTTTCTGAGTTGGAGGTCAGCACAGACTACAAGAGCTAGTTCCAGGATAAGGCCCAAAGCTACACAGAGAAACCCTGCTTCAAAAAACAAAACAATCAAGTTGGCTGACTTAATAGCCCTTTTTCTTACAGGCAGAGCTCTACCCTTTCTACTATTTGTTTGATTTTTGTTTTCCTTTGTTTGCACTGTAGAGATAGAACCCAGGGCCTTCAAGCATTTTTTTATTTTTTAAATATGTGTGTGTTGCTGGGCAGTATTGCCACACATCTTTAATTCCAGCTCTGGAGAGGCATAGGCAGGCAGATCTCTGTAAAACCAGCCTTGTCCACACAGTGAGTTCCAGAGCAGCCAGAACTACACATTGAGACCTCAGTGGTGCAAGCCTTTAATCCCAGCACTCAGGAGGCAGAGGTAGGAGGATATCTGAGTTCAAGGCCAGAGTGGTCCAGAGACAGTTCCAGGACTGCACAGAAAAACCCTGTCTCAAAAAAAGAAAACCGAGTGGTGGTGGCACACACGTTTAATCCCAGCACTTGGGAGGCAAGAGGCAGGCGGATCTCTGTGAATTTGAGGCCAGCCTGTATTACAAAGTGAGTTTCAAGGACAGTCGTCACGTATGTTAAAAAGAGAAATCCTGTCTCAAAAAACTAAAAAAAAAAAAACAAAACAGAAAAGCAAACTATTTCAGGTATGGGGTATGCATGTGTCCCCTGCATACCTGCAGAGGTCAGAGTAAGACCACATGTGTCACACTATGAATTATGACCTGCTTTGTCTTTTGCTGGCTAAGCCATTTTACCAGCTTATAAAACCAAGGCCTTTTGCATGTTAGATAATTGATCTACCACTGAGCTGCACCCATAGCCTTAATCTGCCCTTTTTGTTTAGTTCTTTTGCTTTCTGTGGACAGAATTCATTATTTATCTTGTTTGGCCTGGGTCTTGCTATGTTGTCTAGTGGCAATCTGGATTTTTATTATCTTAAAATACATGGTTCATTACTGGGGAGGGGAGCAGATGATATAATTACCCCATATCTATCTAGAAGTAATTAATATTTTAGATGGATGGTTGTATCTTTTTTTGCATTTATTATGCAGTCACTGTGCTAAAATATTTTTTCCTTATGATTTTTCAGAACTCTAAAAGGGGATGATTTTCCTTTGTAAACGAGGAAACTGGGCTAGGGAGTTGGCTCAGTGGGTAGAGTGCTTGCTGTGAAAGAGTTCAGATCCCCAATAGTCACACAAACTCCAGCTGGGCACAGCAGCCCACTTGTAATCAAGTGCACTCTGGAGGCTGGGATTCCCGGAGTAAGCACCTAGCTAGGGTAGCTGTACAGCAAAGCTCTGGGTTCAGAGATTCCCTGAATATAAAGTGAAGAGCAATTGAGGAAGATACCTAACTAGAACTCTGGCCTGGCCTCCACACCTAAGTTCACTTTTTTTTTTTTAAAGATAGATTTGTTTATGTCTCAGGAGACAGACTTGCATATCTGAGTTCAAGGCCAGCTTGGTCTATGGAGTGAGTTCCAGGACTGGCTCCATAGTTACTGAAAAACCCCATCTCAAAAACAAAACACAAACAAAAATTTATGTATACGAGCGTGCTATCTGCATGTTCAACTCTATGACAGAAAAGGGCATCAGGTCCTACTATAGATAGTTGTAAGCCACCATGTGGTTGCTGTGAATTGAATTCAGGACCTCTAGAAGAACAGTGCTCTTAACCACTGAGCCATCTCTCCAGCCCCCTGCATTTACTCTTGAATACAAATACAGAAGCACAAATTACCACCCCAAGTCATCCCCACAGGCAAGCTGAGCCAGGATCTCATAGGAATCTGACTACCTCTACTGCCTTAGTACTGGGAATTAGTGATAGAATAAAACTCTGATAGCACACACAGAAAAATGAGGCTGAAGAACTGGCTCAGCAGTTCTAAAATAACTTGCTATTTTTGCAAAGGACCTAGATTTGGTTCCTAGTATTTATGTGGTAGTTCATAACCTTTTGTAACTCTAGTTCTAAGGATTGGATTTTCTCTTCTGACCTCCCCTTGCACCAGGAACGCATTTGTTATAATCACACACATACACTAAAATAACCAAATCTTTAAAACATTTACCTGGGTTGTACATGGTAGCCAGCCTTACTTGTGTTTGATTTTTCAAGTCAGGGTTTCTCTGTGTAGAGTCCTACCTGTCCTTGAACTACCTTTTGTAGACCAAGTGGGCACTGAACTCAGATCACACCTGTCTCTGCCTCCTAGTGCTGGGATTAAAGGTGTGGACCATCACTGCCCTGCCAGGCAGACTTGTTACACAGTGAGTTCCAGGCCAACCAGGGTTATGTTGAGAGGCCTTGTCTCAAAATATAATGCATATATATAGAATGTCATAGGCTCACTCTTCTCCCAGGTTGGGCTTGGATCCCACAGGATCCCACATCTCCTTTAAGAACGTTTAACCCTGGTCTTGCCTGGGAGCATGAACAAGAGGATGGCTCCTGGGTCACTGAGGACATAGAGCGTCAAGAAACTCCCAACCCCTGTCCTCTTTGGGACCCAACAGAGTCCTGCATGTACAGAACCCGATTTGTGGAATATTCCCATTTCCCACCTCCCAGTACCTTTGGGGGTAAGTATTGTTCTTTCTCCCTTCATTTCGTTTCTGTGTTTTCAACACAATAGACGGAGGTGGATCTGAGTTCAAGAACAACCTGTTCTACAGAGTGAGTTTATGGGCAGCCAGGGCTTTTAGACAGAGAAACCCAGTATCGGAAAACTAAACGTTAGGGCTACCAGATTACAGTTATCTGTCTTTAAAACGTTAATGGAGGGCAGGGAGTGGTGGCGCTCACCTTTAAACCCAGCACTCTGCAGGTTAGAGTGAGTTCCAGCACGTAAAAGGACTTATACAGAGACACCCTGTCTCAGAAGCCCATCCCCTGCATATAGAGGCAGGATGTTCGGCCATGAACTCCTTGCATAAAGCTGTATGTGACGCCAGTCATAAGAAACCAGTCCACCCCGAGGACATTCACACGGTAAGGGGAGGCCCGTACAGGTGAGATCTCACAGCTCACATTCAATACCCTCAGTGTACAGTCTGCCTCTTACAGCTGTCCCGGGATTTCCTCACAAAGCAGATGGGGTCACTGCCAAAGCACTGCAGGATATAAAGTCAATTTCAGCAGCTTCATTTGGCTAGACTACCAGCCAGGGAGCCTGTTACCCCAGGTTAGTTCTGGGATTACTACAGGTCTTTTACTATACGGCGAACTACATGCCTTTAGGACCTCACCACGGGTAGAAATCTTTAAAGTCTGCCATCCATCACAAGGTCGACCAGAGAATCTGAAGCGAAGTGTCACGCGCAAATATGTGCTACAAGATCAGAGTCGCGTAAAAACGAACGCACACAGGGCTTAGGGTTCACTGACTTTACTGGTTCAACAATAAACCGCAAAAGAAAAGACGTTAGCTGTCACTCCGGGGCGTCCTCCAGAAACCTGAAACCAAAATAAAAGAACGTTTAGTACCGCATAGAGGGGACTGCCGGTTCTGGCTACATTGAGAGAGATGTCCCGGCGTCTGAGGATAGAACCGGCGAACGGGAGGCCGCAGGCACCGAAGACATAACGCCGAGGGGGCCAGAGCCCTTTCCTTCTGCCTCCGTACATAACGGGGAGCAGGACCGCACGCCCGGTCCCCGCCAAGAAATGGAGGGTCTAAAAGACCAGGCCCAGATCCCAGCAGCGCCCAACTGCCCAACCATACCAACACTCACAAGACACATGAAAGACGTTCTTCGAAAGACCCGTATGGCCGCGGAACACGTTTATATAAGCCTGGAGTCTGCCCCTCCCCTCGCATTGCGATTGGTCCGCGGATGCAAGGCGGGCGGAGCCTTTGCGCCAGGCGGAACCTGCGAGCGGAGCGGAAGTGCGGCTCCACGAGTGCGCCTCAGAGTGCAGCTATGGGACCTCCCGGAGGAAAGATCAATCGTCCCCGCACGGTGACTGTGGGCGCTGTCCCTTTGCTTTCCCAGACTTCCCGGAGCGTTTCCCTCTCCCGAGACAGGATCAGTGGTGTCTGGAGTACCCGGGTGCGGGGATCCCGGTTGGGCATGCGCGACCTTATTCTGGTGCGCGTCTTTTTCTCCCTCAGGAGCTGAAGAAGAAGTTATTCAAGCGCCGGAGGGTACTGAGCAGGGATCGGCGACGGAAGCGCCAGGTGGTCGGGGCTGTGATAGACGAAGGGCTGACTACGAGGCACCACCTCAAGAAGCGGGCGTGAGTGTGGTACTAGCCTCCTCCGAGTAGTCATTCCTACCAATCTTCACAGCAGCTCAAACTTTTCCGATTTTCTTGTTCTCTCTTCTCTCACGTTTAAGCAGAAACTAGTTGACAGTTAGGTTAGTTTCCAAACCACCAACCTCTCACAATACCGTTGCCCACAGGGTTTTTAGGTTTGGATTCCTCAAAGATTGTTGACTCTTCATCCTTCAAATGGTTATCTACATTAACTTAGATTTTTGGAATAAAAGTGCAATCAATTAGTCGAATTTTCTCAAAGGTACACCTAGGATACATACATAAGTTCTATAAGGCAAATGTCCTTTTTGTAGGTAGGATCACTTTTGTGATTTAGGATGGTTCAGATTAACTTGGATATCTTTGTTTCTATCTGTGCCTCAGGTCCAGTGCACGTGCCAACATCACGCTGTCCGGGAAGAAGCGCAGGAAACTCCTGCAGCAAATCCGTCTTGCTCAGAAAGAAAAAGCAGCCATGGAAGGTATGTCTGGGTCACAGAGGTTACATGAAAGGGAGTCTGGATTTTTTTACCTGGGTTCTTTAATACTTCCTCTTTTCTTTCTCTTTGTTCAGTGGAAAACCCCTCCAAGTCATCCAGGACTAGTGAGCCACAGCCCAAAAGACAAAAGAAGATGAAAGTTCCCCAGGATGTAGATATGGAAGATCTGGGAGATGAGAGGCTTTAGCTCTGCCTCTGCTATAAGAAGATTCTCAACAGCAGCCAGAGGATTTGGAGGACTTTGGAGAAAATACTACCATATTTTACTCTCCCAAGACACCCTTTAATGGCCCACTGACCTTCCCTGGAGTTACATATTGGAAGGGAAGAAGACACAGAAAGACTGGAGAGGTCCCGCTCCAGCAGCCAACTCCTTTTGTAATAAAGTCCTGGAGGTTTAACTAACGTGTGGTGAAGTGCAAGGATGGGGATGGGCCATATAAGAAGGCCTTTGAGAGAGACAGTCCAGAAGCAGGATGCACAGTGTGCTTGAGCAGAGCAGTAAGAAACTAGGTATTGCGGCGTGTAGTGGTGCTCACTTTTAATCCCAGCACTTTGAGGCAGAGGCAGGTCAGCCAAGGCTACATGGTAAAACCCTTTAGGTAGTTTTCTTCAGTAGTCCCCATCTTTCTGTACAGTAACACTCTCAATTTTTCATTTTTGAAAATTCCGGGTTATTGGATGGTAGGTGGGGAGGCAAGGAATCTGCCACTATACCTGTGTGACCTGGGATTATAGTAAGGACAATTTTTTTTTAACTGGTAATGGTGGTGGTTCTGGGAGTCAAACCCAAGGCCCCATCCATTCTAGGCATTCTTTGTGTCATCTACATCCTGAGCACCTGTATTTCTCTATCAGCACTCATGCTGTAGGGAGTCAGGGTCTTCCTTATATAGCCCAGGTCTGTTTTGAACATGTGATCCCTCTGTTTCTGCCTCCACAGTGCTGGGATTATGGGTATGAGACATGTCCAGCCCCCTTTCCTAACTTGCTTTTACCATTGCAAACTTCTAAATAGATGGAGGCTGATGTTAAGAGGGCTTGACACCAAGCCCAACAACCTGTGTTCCATCCCTGTGACCTTAACAGTGGAAGGAGAGCCATCTCTCCAAAGTTGTCCTCTGGCTTCCAAAGCTTGCATTTTGGCAAGCATGGTTCCCCATATACATAGTAAATGTAACAACAAAGCACAACCAAACACACTAAAAAAAATTAGATGTAGACTTACAGCATTTCTCCAATTTTCCATTCCTTCTCTTCCACTAAATGTCAGTAAAAGACTATTTTATGTGTTTGAGTATTTTGCTTGCATGAATGTGCCAGCATTTACATTGTGTATGCTTGGTGTCTGCAAAGGCCAGAAGAGGCTGTTGGATCCATTGGAACTGAAGTGAGCTGCCATGTAGGTGCTAGGAACTGAACTGGGTTTCTGAGAGAGCACCAAGTGTTCTTACCACTGAACCATCACTCCAACTCCACAGACAACTTTTTTCTTCTTCCGTTTTAGATTTATGGGCATGAATATTTTGCCTGCATAGATATATGTGCACTATGTGCCCAAGGAGGCCAGAAGCTCCCCTGGAATTGGAATTACAACTGGGAGCTGCCATGTGTATGCTGGGAATTGAACCCTAGTCCTCTCAACTCTCCATCCCCAAACAACTTTTAAATAAACGTGATGCATCTCACAACCACGTGTAACTCCCGCTTCAGGAGCTCTGATGCTCTCTTCTAGACTTTGAAGACACCTGTACTTTGCATCTATATATATACACACAGGCATGCTCATGTACATAGAACTTAAACATAAGAACAAGATGGTCAGTGGTGGAGGAGGCAGGCAGATCTCTGTGAGTTTGAGGCCAGCCTGGTCTACAGAGTGAGTTCCAGGACAGCCAGAGCTGTTACACAGAGAAACGCTGTCACAAAAAAACTTAAAATAATAAATATAATAAAAATGTTTAATATTCACCAGATGTTTCTTACATACATGTTTAGTTCATTAACCATGCAACCATACTCTTAAAATATAAATATACCCTGGAGAGACACAGAAATCCCCATACTGACAAGTCAAACTAATGATTCCATCTAAGTCCAAAAGTCCAGCCTGGTGAATCAAGTACTTGGTTTTTTTTTGTTGTTGTTGTTTTTTTTTTTTTTTGTCCTGACCCCACCCAGACAGGGTTTCTGTGTAGCCCTGGCTGTTCTGGAATTCAATTTGTAGACCAGGCTGGTCTTGAAGTCACAAAGGTCTGCCTGAGTGTTGGGATTAAAGGTGTGTGCCCCCACTACCAGGCTATATTTATTGTTTTTATTTGTCTAACAGGAGTGTGAGTGACTCTTGGGCCGTTGAAACCCAAAAAGCTTCACCCTCACACAAGTGGCAACTCAAGAAAGCAGCATCATTCCAGCGAACTCTAGTCAACTTTTCACCTATACATTTCAGCACTTCCCAAGATGAAGCGTATCTGGGACAAGATTATCTACTGCTAGGGTGGGGGTGGTGGTGGGAATCATGGCTAGGCACTGAGGTGGGGGGCTGATGACCGGCACACCTCCTATAAAGGAATATTGATAGGCTCTCATTTGGGTAGCTGTTCTGACTCATGACGACAATGAGCATGTCAGTTCCACTACAATGTACCTATTTGACAGGTGAGGAAGCAGACCTAGAAAACTTTTTAAAAAATGTTTTGGCTGGGTGGTGGTGGTGTATGCCTTTAGTCCCAGCACTTGAGAGACAGAGAACTCAGGTGGATCTCTGAGTTCAAGGCCAGCCTGGTCTACAGAGTGAGTTCTAGGACAGCCAGGTCTGTTACACAGAGACACCCTGTCCCAACAAACAAAACAAAACAACAACAAAAGTTCTGATATGTACAGGCTATTCAGGTGTTTTGAAAGGCCAGACAAGAGCAGCCTGTATTGGAGTTGACTAGGACACATCCAGACACCAAATTCTCAGCAAAAAGGAGATTTATTACTCCAGAGGGACAAGCAATGAGAGGCTGCCTCTGGATTAGGCAAAGGCAGACAGCAAGCAGCAATAGTAGCGAGAAGGTTTGTTTGTCTGTTTTTGCTGGGGTGGCTTTCTAAGGAGAAAATGGGGGAGCCTGCTAGGGAGAGTTGATAAGTCCTGATTGAACATGTTAGCCAAATAATGAACTTTGATTGTTGAACCTTGGTGTTTGGTCTAAGGAATGAGTCAGTGGCCAAATAAGGGACTAGACCATGGCTATCTTTAGGAGTATAATCTAATCCCGTGTGAAACTTTAGTTAGAAATGGTTGTGAGCCATCATGAGGGTGTGGGTTTTGAACCTGGGTCCCCTGGAAGAGCAGTCACTGATCCATCTCTCTAGCCCTTTCATACTGACTCTTATTATTCAGAGTGGTTTCTGTATCCAGTATTATATCAAGAACTTTGGGCTGGGTGTGGTGGCACCCACACTTCTTCCCAGCACGCAGGAGGCAGAAGCAAGTGGGTCCAAGTTTGAGGCCAACCTGTCTACAGAGTGAGTTCCAGGATAGCCAGAGACACAGGGAAACCCTGTCTTGAAAAACAAAATACAAAACAGACAAACTAAAAAAGAACTTGGCATAAATTATTTCAAGTATTTATACTATGTGAGGCAGATAAGTCATGCGCATCTTACAGATGAGGAAACAGGGTCCAGGCAGCTAGTTCAGTTGGTTATATTGCCAACAGTGGCAGATAAATCCAAACCTAAATGGGCTCCCTTAGATTGTAAAATCTTTAAGGGCAAGAAGACCCACAGTAAGCCAGGGTAGGGGCAAGTATCTAGTCTCAGCTACTGTGGAGGCCGCGGGAGGAAGAGCACTTGAGCAAAGAATTACAAAAAAGCCTGGGCAGTTTTGATCTAAAACAAAAGCAAAAGCTAGGTGTGGTGGCATGCCTGTAATCCTAGCACCTGGGAGACAGAAGCAGGAGGAAGGGAGTTTAAATTCATGAGACCCTTTCTCTCTACAAGCAAACAACAAGCAGGCAAACGAAAAAGAGAAATATGCTATATTAGACACTGTCCCATCATGTAGCCCTGATTGGTTTAGGCCTTGGTTTGTAGACCAGGTTGGTCTTCAGTGCTGGGATTACAGGCCTTGAGTCTGAACGGTCGGATTCATGTCTCTCTTTTTCTTTCTTTTTTTATTTTACTTTTTGAGTCTGGGTTTCTCTGTGTAACAGTCCTAGCATCCTGGAACTAGCTCTTATAGACCAGGCTGGACTCAAACTCACAGAGGTTCACCTGGCTCTTCTGGGATTAAAGGCATGCGCCACCACCACCCGGCTCCGTGCCCCGTTTTTTAACAGCTCATGAATTGCAGGTTGATATTACTGCTGTTAGGGAAAATAAATAGGTCGCACTGTGAATGAAAGGTTCCAGGTAGCTTTCCTGTGCCGATGAGACCCTTTGGGGAAGGCGTGGGGGAGAAGGTTCCTGAAAGGCAAACCTGATACCTGCTGTGACCGATGCGACGCGGAACCAAAGTACTAGGGCTTCAGACTTGGCCGGACTGATTTTCCTGAGAGGCGGGGTCGCTGGTTTCTGTCGCGTTTCCAGTCAGCGCGCATGCGTCGCCTGTGCTTCGCCGCTCCCGCCTCAGGCTCCGGGTAGGGCTCCGGGATGTCCGCGTTGTGCGACCCTCCCGGGGCCCCAGGGCCACCCGGGCCTGCCCCCGCCACCCACGGTCCCGCGCCTCTCAGGTAGTCAGAGCCCCTGGTCCCCCCCCCCCCCCATCGCGCGACCCCGCGCCGATACCCAGCCTTCTCTACAGAAAGCCGGATCATACCTTGAGAACTCGCGTCAGGGTTCTCAGAGATTCTGGTCGCGTCCTCCCGGAACTCAGGGACCGCCTCACTAAAAACTCTGGGCTGCCCTTGGTTCTGCGTTCCCCGAGGCCTCAGTGGCTTCTTATGCCGGCCTTGCTCAGCCAGCACTTGGGGACATCAGGACTTTTGAGAACCCAGCCTCCCTGCCCCTTTTGCCCCAAGGAGGGTCACTACATGGAGAGTGTCTTGGGAACCAAGGCTGAGCTAGCCCTTCCTTTGCACAAGTCCCTTATTTTGAGGTGCCCTTTTGTTTTTGAACCAGAGGGATGGCACAGAACCCTACCAGCCTAGAGAATGCTGTTGTCTTTGACAGAAAAGACAATAAGAGGAAAGGGGTTTTACTTCCTACCTCAACATAGCTTTCTGAACCTCTAAGGCAGAGCTTATATATATGGGGGTAGGAAGGATTGAAAGACTGTTGACCCCCCCCCCCCCCGCCCCCCTCTCGGCACATTGAAGATGATTTTTAAATCGTGGTTAAGACTCTTTAATTTTCTTGAGGTAGGGTCTCTCTATGGAGAGATCTAGTTGTCCTGGAACTCAAGTAGACTAGG